AGCCCCGCGGCCCAGCCCCTCCCCCACGGCCCCGGGGGGCGCCTGCGCTGCCCTTGGGGCCCGGGGAGCCACCTCAGGGCCAGCACCTTAGCTAGACTCCTGGCAGCCCCGGGTGTACTTGTAGTATCCGGCCACCCCTTTGCAAGAGATGATGATGATAATAACAATTGCCATTTTGGCCCCCATCTCCTGCCCCTTTCTTTCCAGATCCTGGGCGACTGCCCTGCCCGCCCGTGCCTGCGTCCGGCTCTGTTTGTGAGCCAAGCCCAGGGCTTTGGAACAGGAGTCCGTGGTCAGGACCAGCCCGTCCTATCCTGCAAAACCTGTGGCCGCAGGGGACCCCCTGCATCTGGCCACTCGCCACCCCTTATACCGCTGGCTTTACATCTGGCCGCTTGCCGCCCCCCCGCCACCGGCTTTACATCTGGCGGTTTGCTGCCCTCCTGCTGCCGGCTTCACATCCAGCTGCCTGCTATCCCACCCCACCACCACTGGCTTCTTCAGCTGCTCCCCGCCCCCTTCTGCTGCTGGCTTCTTCGTGGCAAGGGGCCCCAAAATATTGTTGGTCAGCCCTGTCCATGGTGGTCCAAGCATGGCTGTGGACTTGTAGAGCGCTTTGCTCCCCTCTTTTGTTGGGTCTTTCTCTTTCTCTCTCGGTCGTAGAGTAGCTGGTGGGGCATGTAGGTGAGGTGGATCTGGACAGAGAAGGAGATGCTCCGGATTTCGCGGAGGTGTGGAGTCACGTGTTTAGGAGATGAACCCCCCTCAAACAAGCCATCCTTTACAAGAAGGCTGGTCAGGCTCAGGCGTCTGTCCCAGAAAGCAAGGTTTCTGGCAACAGCTGGGGAGGTTGCAGAGAATAATCAGCTGAGCAGGCCTCCAAGTGAGGTGCTGCAGTTAAGAGGTGACATAGACTTGCTCTGGTATTTTTCTGCAATACAAAAAAAAAATGGAGAGAGAGGGAGAAAACCAAGAGCTGACAGTTTCTAAGGAGCGGGGCCTCCAGGGGCCTTCTAAAATGGTCGAGAACCACTGTGCTACACTGACGGGCTCTCTCCTACTCTTTCTGTTTCCCATGCATGAATTTAGAGGCTGGGATCAAGTTGTTTTTCAATCCTTTTTTAAATTTTTTTTTTAAATTAAGATACACAGCCAAACTTATTTTTTTCCTCTTGTTAGGAAACCTCTGTTCCATTCCTCTCATTATTCATATGGAGGGTTTGTAAGTCTTCTCCCATTTTTAATCTTCCTCCTTAAATTAAGGACACCAGAACCAGTTGTGGTATTCTAGTGGCAGAGAGGTGATATAATCGCACTACAGCTGCTTCGTGCCATCTCTATAATAAATCCAAGAATCCTGTAGCATCTTGTAGCATCTCGCTTTGAGTTTGTGCTCAACTAATTATTTCCCTATGACCTCCACTGTTGTTCTTGGAATTATTGCTGTCCAGGGTGGAGGCCTGAACCTTTCTTGTAAAGGTGGCATTTTGCTCCTAAATTCATGACTTCAGACCTGGGTGAAATCCAGAACTTTTCATTCTCTATCCAGATCTGTGTCACCTGCAGCCAAATCTTTTTTTTATGCTAGACAGGTGATTCTTGGAGTTGGTAAGAAAGTACTGTTAAAATAATTTTGGGATCAAAGATAATGAATTCGAGAGGTAAGTAAAGACATTCCTCCTCGGCAAGCCCTTGAGGAAAGTGCAGCTATTTTGGGGGTAACACTACGTCGAACTTTAGATTCAATCCAGAAATGGAAACTGTAGGTCTAAGATGATAGTTATTGGCCCTGGCATCTTTCCTGGCATCGTTTCAGGTATTGTTGGAATTGGTATGTTTGCTGATGGAGATGGGATAAAAATATTCCAACAAAAATCACCAGAATATTATGTCTGTGCGCTCATTATATCTGCTTCTTAATATGATGTGTGCATAGCCCTGTGGTTCTTTCAGCCTTCACTCTTAAGACAAAGGCTTTCTCGTTGTCTTTGTGCTTTCCATCTTTGAACTTTTATTTTAGTGTCAAGGCTGAGTGAATATATTGTATTGATACTTGTTTCCATAGTTTTAGGGCAAGGGTAGACAACCCCCAGCATGGTTGCCAGAGCATGGTACATGTGCCTCAGGGTGGATAACAGGGAAGGGGCTGCCAGAACAAGGATCAGGCCCCTAGCAGCTCCTCCACTGCACACTCCAGCATGCCAGCATCTTACAAGTCAGGGTTGCGGTGTTTTTGGCACTCTGCTCATAAATGTTACTGACCCCTGTTTTAGGGTATCATAATAAAATTATTAAGATGTGGAATTTCATCCACTTCTTTTCTGCTTCCCTTTCCCTTTAAAACTTTTTTTCTGTTTTAAAAAGGATGCCATCAACTGAAGATCTGTTAACTTAAAAAAAATCTATTTTCCCTGCCAGTTGTTGTGCAGAGTGGTCTGCAGTTAAGTTTTGCCAGTGTAACTGGATTGGTGAGGAGTGGGTATGTGTAAGTAGGGAGGACTTATACACCAAAAAGATAGTAGTGCTGCTGAAAAATACCACAGTGTTGCAACCTTCAGAGTAAGGCAAGTATAGAGCATCTCAAAACCCTATCCCTCACTGCCTTGTGGCCCTGATAAAAACATGCCCTTAGGCATTAGGCAGTCAGCAGCAGTTCTTATCTGTTGCTCGGTGGCAGAAGCTACAACCATTGAGGTACTGAACATCTGGACTAGGTCTGGCCTTTGGATTCTGTCTCAATGGTCTAAAGGCGAGGTGGTGGGTCTTGGGCAGCCTCCACACTCCTGCCCAGGTGTATGCATCAAAGGTCTTGGTGTGATGGTCACAGGACTTCATACAAGCAGATTCATGTGACGCCTTATTAGACCTCTTACATGTACACCATGATCCAGAGGATCAACGGTTGCCTGTTACTCCTACTACCAGTCTAGCTGTACTGGTAAGCCCTTTAAATGGAGAAAAGCCTTGTCTTTCCCTATGTTACATGTGCTTTTGTTTTCCTTGACACTGTATGAAAGACCTATACAAATAAAAGAGGGAAATGGGCTGTAGATGAAGATCCATCAAAGTAAACATTAGATTAGATGACATCTTTTTGCTATGATTACATGCATTCCATTTTATTTCTACCTTTGAACATATGCCCCTGAGATCTCACCACAGCCTATATTCTAAACAACATCTCTTCTTTTGCCATTAGATCTCTTGAAATCTGACTGGCAAGAAGTGCTATTGATGTTATCATTTCTATTCTGTGATAGCTCTGTTTTGAAAAGCAGGTTCCTACTGCCTGTATTTTTCCAGCTGCTTTGCATCAGTTTCTTTCTCTACATTCTCTTCCTGAAAGGCACTTACTCTGTAGTGCTATGTTTAGAGCTTTATGTGAATTATTCATGGTTCCTTTTATACGTCTAAGAAAGTGAGGTGTTCTGATACTTTAAGGGTAATTTCACACACACGCACACACACGCACACCCCCCCCCCATCATTTTGCTGCTGGTGCTATACTGTGTTCCTTGATTTATATCAGCCCCGAAGAAGGACTGGGCATCTCTGCATTGCCACCAGGAATCCTGAGAGGGATATTTATATATTTAGGGGAGTTAGCCATACTCCCTGTTTTTCTGTGCTTTTCATAGAGCTCTCTGCTGATGGAGCTGTGCCATTGAGTGCATGGGGGATGAGCAGAATCAAACCTTTGTCTAGTCCCCAGTCCTTCTTTTTTTTCTCACCTGATTTAAAGGGTTGGTTGAGGACAACAGAGTGGCTTGGCTTCCCTTGTACTTTTACCCATTAGGCAAGTAGCCAGCCAGTGCAGGAGAGCAAAGTGATATGCAAACTAGAGCAGTTTGACTTATAGGAGACCCATTTGAAATAGTGCAGTAGTTCTAGGGGGTAAGTTTATTCGGACACAGAATGGCTGACCCCAGAGTTTATTGTATTATTCTTTAAATAGTGGTATTATAATATATTGAGTACCAGCTAGATTTTTCTTAATGCTTGAGCTCCATGTTTATTGCAGGATGACACAGAAGAAAATTCAAATGATGGCAGCCAGCCTTCAAAAAGACGACGTATGGGCTCAGGGGACAGTTCTCGAAGTTGCGAAACTTCTAGTCAAGATCTTGGGTAATATCATTTTACTGAGGCTTTCAAACACTGCTTCATTGCATCTTTCTATAGTTTTAGCAAAGAATCAGTGTCTTTTTCTTTTCACATGTTCAGACGTTTCTCTGACTTCAGTGATGGTAAATAAAATGGATTTGGGGCAACTTTCATGCTCTTTCAATAAAGTTTTATTTGATGTAAGTTTAACTGAAATATCCTGAATGTAAGTGTGTCTGATTATACATCTGAGATCTTAAAATATTTTAAATATATCTCAGTAACAAATTTTGGAAGTCCATGCCAGCATTTTCTTGTTACCTTGTCACAACTAATACACACCTTGATTTTTGTGTCCCTTAATACTATGAGGAATGCTAGCTTTGTGAAAGAAAGCCTAATGAAGTGGAGTATGCGTCATAGTTTTGAGACGAGGTAGGAGGAGGCTGTGTTCTGAAGGGTAGATCTAACTCGTCATGGTTTTTAATTGACTTAAAAAGAAATGAGATCAAATTGTAGAAATAAGGCATTCATAATGATTGCTTTAACTTAAGTACATCCATGTATAAAGCAAACAATTTTATATAACAAGTCTATTGTCTTTTATGCCTAGCTTTAGCTACTTCCCTGCTGAAAATCTGATAGAATACAAATGGCCACCAGATGAAACAGGAGAATATTATATGCTTCAGGAGCAAGTCAGTGAATACTTGGGCGTGACCTCCTTTAAACGAAAGTATCCAGGTATCCATTTTATAAAGTCTGTATAAAAGTATCTACCAGTCTGTACAGGTTTGAATTGCTGTTTTTTTTAGAGTACAGTGCAATTAAGAGGCAGGCAGGGTTCTTTGAGTAGATGTGATACCTTGTATTAGACCAACTGAGTAGTTGGAAAAAGTTCTTAGCAAGCTTTCGGGCACAAATCACCCTTCTTCAGGCATAGGAAGTCTCTGCTGTTCTGAGACTCCCAGGGAATGAGAGAAGCTAAAGGTGTGACAGGATGTCAATGAGAATAGCGTAGGCCTGTGCGAAGTGCCTAATACTCGCTTTGGATTCGGCCGATTCAGGGGACAGTGATTCAATTCAGTAATTTGAATTACTGTCCCGAATCCATTCCGCCAAATTGGCTGAATCTCTGAATCGAACAGACCCCATCTCCTGTGCACTCTTGCTGCCCTGCTCAGCCCTAGCACCTAGGCTCTTTAAAAAAAAAAAAAAAAAAAAGCCGTGCACTCACTGACTCCTCCTGCCAGGTGAGGGGATGATCCCCACTGCCCCGCGCTGTGTTGGGAGAGATCTGCCACAAGCCCCCAGAGGTCCCGATGCTGATGCAGCAGCCAGTGAGTGCAGGGCTTTTTTTTTAAAGAGTTGGGATGCTAGGGCCGGGTGAGGCAGCCATGGGTGGTGGGGCTGGGAGAGTGGGTGGGGGATGAGGGCTGGTGGCAGAGCCCCCATGCAGCACAGGGCAGTGGGGGGCAGCGAGGATCGCCCCCCACCCCCAGCCTGGCAGTAGCCGGTGAGTACAGAGCTTTTTTTTTTTAAGTTTTTTTTTTAAAGCGCCGGGACACTGGGGCTGGATGGGGCAGCCATCGATGGGGCTGAGAGAGTGGACAGGGGTCAGGGGGCACTCAGAGGGGCTGGGGGAGCAGGCAGGGGATGGTGCCTGGTGGGGGTCCCCTCATGGTACCCTTTCCCCTTCTCTATCCCCCCGCACCCTGCCTCCCACTTACCGGGTCCACTCTGTGGCGGTGAGTGGGGACTGCCCGAATCTCCTTCAGATCTTTTTCCAAATTGGTTTGGAGGCTTCAGATCAATTCGCACCTTTTTATTGGTCTCTGTAGCAGGGCACTAAGGTGCCTGCTACTGACAACAGTAATATGGGCTCAGCTGCCAGTCACCAGGGCAGCACAGGTGCAGGTTGCCGGGGCAACCAGTCTGGTCAGCTGACCGGAAGGGGGAGGGCCTGGCCTTTATAAACAGCCAGGCTGAGGCCGGAAGGGCAGTTTCCCTCTGGCAGCCAAGGAAGCTGGAGCTCTGCTGGAGCAAGCAGGGCAGGCACAGCAGAGAAGCCTGATGGTCTGGGCGTCTGCTTGATGGTACTGGGTGAAGAAAACCCTGATAGGGATATGTAGGAAGGATAACCAGGTTGGTTTGGGATTTATGTTATAGCCCAGGGGCTTTGGGTTTTCTGTTTTGTTATTGTGTAACACTGGAGGACCAGGTGAGGCTGTAGGGGTTGGAGGAGGCCTTATGAGAGCTCCCCAGTAGCTGAGGGTTCCTGGCGCTGGAGAGGGTGCTGCATTTTGGGGTGTCCCAACCCCAGTGGGGGCAGTATCGGGAGGAGCCCAGTGTGGGCGCAGGCGAGAAACCCCAGTGGGGCGCAAGACCCAAGAAAGGGGTCTGGAGGCCAGTCATGGCTACGGCCACCTGAGCCTCAATTGTAAGAAGCCCCAGCGGGGCGTAGGACCCGAGAGGGGGTCAGGAGGCCAGGCACAGCTAAGGCCACCTGAGCCTCATTTGTGGAACTCACAAGGCAAGGCCCCAGTGCAGGCAGGGAATCGCGAGGCAAGGAGCCCCAGTGCAGGCGGGAATCACAAGGCTAGGCCCCAGTGTGGGCAGGAGCGTGGGAGAAGCCCCAGGGAGGGCGAGCGCGGGAGAAGCCCCAGGGAGGGCACACAGATTGGAAGCCCAGAAAGGGCGCATAGACAAGAAAGGCCCCAGTGCGGGCGACAAGGACGCAGAGTAAGGCCCCAGTGCGGGCGACAAGGACGCAGAGTAAGGCCCCAGTGCGGGCGGGGATCGCGAAACCGGCCCCGGTGCGGGCTGCGAGAGCCGCGGGGGGAACAGGCCCCGGTGCGGGCTGCGAGAGCCGCGGGAGAAGCCAGGAGGCACCTGTGAGGGCACAGGCAGGCAATGAGGACGAGTCCGGGAACCCATGAGGGCATGCGTGACTGGGGGACTCACGTGCAGCCCCAGAGGTGGAGTGCACCGAGCAACCAGGCAGAGCCAGGAGACATCAAGGCACCGTGCCAAGGAAGGTTGGAAAGGCAGCCTCCCTTCAATATATTACCATCAAAGACGTGGCGGGCGAGATAGCGAGGGTGCATTAAACCTGATCTGGCATGGTAGGTAGGGGGTGCTAGGGGAGGTCATGGCACCCCTAGGTCACGCCCTGCCACAGTCTCCTAATTCGATCTGGACTCGGAGATTCGGCCACCGAATCAGGCTGAATCTCCTCCAAATCGAATCAGCGACCAAAACTTCGCACAGCCCTAGTAAAGAGGTAGACATTAGGAAAACACAAGGTTTTCTCATTCTCGCTGATATCCTGTCATGCTTTTAGCTTCTCTCCTTTCTTGGAATCTCAGAACAGCAGAGACTTCCTATGCCTGAAGAAGGGTGATTGTGCCAGAAAGCTTGCTAAGAGCTTTTTTCCAACCACTCAGTTGGTATAATAAGATTATTACATCTACTCAAAGAACCTTGCCTGCCTATGTCCTTAGACCAACACAGCTACAAACGAAAACCCAGCAGTGTACAACTAGGAGAATGCTAAACCCAGGGTGTTTCTTTTTCTCATCTTTTAGTCCCAGTAGTTTTGTTACCCACCTAATTTTCAGCTAAGGTTTTCATTTTGAAACGTTGTAGAGGAGTCTGATTTCCGTTGATGGATGCTTAACTTATTTTTTAAAGTCATATCCCTGATTTTATTTTGTAGAATTAATTATAATTATAATTGTTACTTTTGATTTTACTCAGCCTAGGCCATGTGACTGGATTTAGTTTATTGTTCTAGGACTCGGGCAATAGTGCATTAGAGTACATCCACACTAGAAAAATGTTAAAATAATCTGGTTCTCTCTCATCATAAACTGTTCTGGTCCTTGTATTAGAATTGGGGAAGAAAAATCCTTGTTAAAATTATTTTTGTCTTTTTTTATTAGTCAGTGACCTTTTTAATTCAAATGCATGGGAAAATTAATTATTAAAGCTGCCACTCTGTAAATTAACTGTTAATAGATTCATGTGTGCATTTGTGCACACAGGTGTCAGTCAAACTAATACTCCCTTAGATTACATCCTTGTATATATTACTGTTTTCAGACTACTTCTGTATAATTGTAGGTACAAAATTATAATTGTATAATTGGTATACTATTAATTAAAACAATGTATAAAATCTGAAAGAATCTGTAAAAAAAAAAAAAAAAAAAAAAAAAAAAAAAAATTTTTTTTTCCCCCTTCAAAAACACACAAAAAAGGTTTTTTTAAGGAAAAAAAAAAAAAAAAAAAAAAAAAATCTTATATTTGATTTAGCTATAGAATACCTTTTATGATGCATTTGGAAGTGGATAACAATACATTTTGCTTGGTGTTTTGTCTCCTGGAGATTTAGAGAGACGGGACCTATCTCACAAGGAGAAACTCTACCTCAGAGAACTAAATGTCATCACAGAGACTCAGTGCACATTAGGTAAGAAAAAGAGTAGCATGTTTGAGTTGCATATGAAAGCGGACAAAGATAAAATGACTTGGTTGGCTTATGTTATAATTTATTTGTGCCTTAAAAATGGTAGAATCAAGTAGTTCTTGACTCAGCACCTGAGTTCTGAAATTAGAATTGGTTTCAATGATACCTTAAGAGCATGTAATCATTTGAGCGTAAGACCTCAAATAGACTACTAGTCTTTGTTTTTGACCCATTCAAATTACTTCATTTATAAAGGAAGAAGTTATTTTGCCAACATCTGCCTTTCTTTTCCACATGGAGAAGAAACTCTCCTTAAGAAGTCCCAGGGCTTTAAATGGAGCTCTGTGCAGGCAAGAAGTTCTGCTGAGACAGATGAGCTTACAGGTTTGAGGTCCTAGAAAAAACAAATTAAAGCACTGAAACACCTTTGTAACAGCATAAAATCCATAACACTGTTTGCATTTGATCTTTTCTTTAAGAGTTTTCTTCTTCCCCTTCTAATGAAATGACACTAGTTTGACTTACTGATTAAAGAGTGTCTTTCCTAATGGTTGTCTTTGATCCAAATCCACACAACCCTTTTGTTTTGCTTTATACGAAAAGCTAATTATTTTATAAACTTTTAAATTACTTTCCCATATGTTTTATTTTTTGGAGGAGGGAGGGTTTAGGCATTTAATTGATATATAACAGCATCTTAATCAGAATATCAGTAGGTGCTAATTTTGAACAGTGCTGACTTTTGTCTGTTTTTTGTCTCTAAAATCGTTGGTTTTAGAGAGAGAACTTCCATTCATGTCAAAGGGAGATTTATAACCACACACATCCCTTATGCTTAATGATTGAAAATAAAAAGGATTTTGATTTGCATGAGAAACTTTTGAGAGAAGGTTTGTTACATAATTGCAAACTTCAGAGAGAAATATTTTGTGTGTGTTCAGCTGTCAGCTTTATCTGGATAATTTTACAATATGCCAGGGCAGGGCTGTCTGGCTGGTGGCCTGTAGGCTGTATGCAGCCTGCAGGGGTTAACACCTGGCCCTCAGTAGATGCTACTCCTTTAGTGCTCCAGCTCTGAGCTGCTTCTTCCTCCAGCTTTTGGCCCCCATGCCTGAGAGTAGGGTGTCACACTGCCCACATCATGGGGAGAGGGATCTAGATAGCTCACATGACATGCAACCCAAAGGGCTGTGACCTGAGTGGGGTGCAGCCCCTGGCCTCAGAAGTTGGACAGACCTGCTGTAGGCCAGTAATCAAAACAATAAATGGTTCACAACTAGTTTTGCCAGGTACTGTCATTAGAGTTTTTGTTTTCTTTAGGTTTAACAGCTTTGCGTAGTGATGAAGTAATTGACCTGATGATTAAAGAGTACCCTGCCAAACATGCTGAGTACTCTGTTATACTACAAGAAAAAGAACGTCAGCGAATAACAGATCATTATAAAGAATACTCTGTAAGTCAGTGCTACTAGTTTAATCCTATAACCCAACGGGTTTCAACCTTTTTTTAAGGAGTGCACCCCTTCTGTGGGTGCCTGTTCTGGACTGTACCCTCTTCCAGCTGGGCAGTGGGAGGTGGGGAGTTGATAACGTCAGCACCCACCCCCACACCCAGCTGGCTGTGGGAAGATCTTCAGGGGAGGGGAAAGGGCCATGGGGGGTGGGGCAGGGCTGGGACTTGGCAGGGATAGGGAGGGAGTCGAGCCGGACCCAGGATCAGGCCCGGGTCTGCTGTGCTCGTCTCTTCCCCTGCACCCGGGGCCATTGCCCAGTGCTGGCACCCCCCGCACCAAAAAATACGTCGCCCCTAGCCCCACGCTGGCCCCAGCTGCCTCCCTGCCCCAGCACCGGCCCCTCACCATCCGGGGCCTCCAGCCAGGAGACAAAGTGGGACCAGTCTTGGCTGTGCCATCGGGCTGGAGGGGACAGAGCCCATGGGACCCCCACCTCACCAGACCCTGCACAGCCAGGGTAGGACGTGAGACAAAGCAGCAGCTTGTCCAGGGGATGCAGGGAGGGGTGGCAGCTCCTGCTGCTGCATGTGTTCCAGGAGGACATAGTCGGGGCATGTGACCCTGGATCAGCATGGGGTAGGATGGGCTTCTGCTGTGGGCTGTGGCTGGGCCAGCACCAGGCTCTTCCTGGGTTGGGGGTGGGGTGTGCTGAGCTCCGGGTGGGTGGCAGTGGGGGCGGGGGGGATGTCAGGTGGGCTACAGTGAATCTTGGGGTGGCTGCAGCCCCCTGCCAGCACTGCTGCTGCCCTCCCCAATGTAGTCCTCCCCCCCTAACTGGGAAGAGTGGTGCAGCCCTGGCCCCACTCCGCAACAGGAGCCTGCCCTGTCCTGTGCAGATCCGGGGGCATGCTTACAAACAGCCAGATGCGAAGCTGGCAGTGTGGGGAGCTCACACACCACTGCCCTCATTGATACACTCCATGTTGCTGCCAGATGCTGCTTTCCAGTGCTGCTGGCTTCACATGCAGCTGGCTGTCAGCACTCCGTGCCCCCTCTGGCATGTGACGGTGGTATGGGGAGCTCAAATGCAGTGGCTGCCCCTACTGCCATCTATACACTCGGAGCCATACATCGGGGGGAGGGTGTGCTGACAGCCGGCCACCACACATGATGCTGGTGGCATGGAGAAGTGGGCATACTTGGGCATAAGAAAGCAACATTTGCACCCAACAGCAGCATGAAGTGATGGATGGTGGCAGCCCTGTCCCCCCTGTGCTGTTGTTTCCCAAGTACCCTCACTTCTCTGCACTGCCAGCTTCCCATCCAGCTAGCCATCAGCACTCCCCACTCCCCCCTGGCCAGACGCACCACCGCTTCCGAAGTACCCCTGCTTCTCCATGCTGCCACTGCGTAACCCCCGGGGCCTTCCCAGGTACCCCCAGGGGTACGCATATCCCCGGTTGGCAACCCCTGCTATAACCCATTAAGCAAGGGAGATAATGTTTTTGTGGTTTTTTGGGGTTTTTTTTTTTGCAATTTATAATTTTATAGGTATGTTCTGTGAATTAATAAACTTGTTTTTATTGCAGCAAATGCAGCAGCAGAACACACAGAAAGTAGAAGCCAGTAAAGTTCCAGAATATATTAAGAAAGCTGCCAAGAAAGCTGCAGAGTTTAACAGCAATCTGAACCGGGAACGAATGGAAGAAAGAAGAGCCTATTTTGATTTACAGACACATGTAGGGTGACTTAAATTTATTATCAATGACAGTAGGCAGCTTGTTTGTTTTAGTAAAAATGTCAGTGTTTTTGGTAATGTTCAAATTCTTATCATCCTATTCACTTGTCGTTTTGTTTTAGAAAAAATGCCATATTTACCTGAACCAAAGATGATCCTGAATTTAAGCCACTCCCCCCTCCCCCCCCAATAATTTGATTTTATACATGACAAATGTATATATTTGCTATAAATTTCCATGTATAGAGTCTCATTTTTGATGGATTGTCTCAAACTTGTCCCCATCCAGACTGCTTTAAACTTCTGGCCCAGCGGGGAAAGCATGGTAGGAGGGGAAGCAGTGTGGGCAATAGGCAGCTTGCCCTTGCCATCTGTCCCCCATATCCTCACATACACACTTCCCCCTTTTCCCCTCCCCCACCAATCAAAACATCTCTGAAGAGACATTTTAATGTTAGTGTTGTTGGGGTTAGAGATGAGGCATAAGTGACATAATAATAGAATGTAAAATAGCAAATAGAAGGTCAAGTTATTTATTGCTTCTATTACCATTCTTCCTAATACAAAAACTAGGGGACATCTAACGCAGTTAGAAGGCAGCGCATTTAAAGCTGATAGGTTTTGGGGGTTGTTTTTTTTGGGGTTTTTTTGACAAAATCGTTACCTTGTATAACTAACAGAGTGACAGTTTCTATGAAGCAATTTTACCTGTTGCTTGGTGAAAATAATGTCTACCAGGGACATTTGTCACAAGGTATTATTTAGATGTATTCCAAGAATGGTCACATATTTATATGAATACAAATATATTCCACGTTTCTAGTGGGATGATACAAGTGTATGTCAAGCTTGTATCAGAATGCAAGCCATTCTCTACTGCCTGTCACAGCCCAACAGCCTGAATACAGTTAAGCAGACATTTTTTTCCATAGGCAAATTTTTGCCTAGTGAACCATTATGGGGATTTTAAGCTTTTCTGACATTAGTCTCTGTCAGAAGCAGAATAGTGGGTCATTGATCTAGTCTTGTTATGACTGTTCCTGTGCTTTTCTATTTGTTTCTCTTATATTAACCTAATGGCTTTGTATACAACAGTGCTTTTAATGCTAGGTTTTCTTATCATCGTTACCATTCACCACCACCCAGGAACAGCAAAATTTTGTTTTAAAGATGTCCCACATAAAAACTAATTACATACCATTTGAGCTTCTAAGTAAAGTTATTTAAAATTGAATAGGAAGGAGTATTTTTTTTTTTTATTCTATCTCATTACACAGTCTTGGTGCCATACATGAAATTAGGGTTTTATATATACATCATACTTAGTAGGAATTTATTATTTATATTTGATATAGAATTTCATTTTCTTAGTAAAGCTCTAAAATATTATATTCCATGAAGTGCTAGAAAGCATATGGGAAACCTAACTCGACTCCTGTAACATAATAAAGAGGAAGAGACTGTATGAGATATGTATACAGAGAGAGAGAGGGATCTTATCCATATTTGAATATGGGAAAAAACACTATTTTAAGAGAAAAAAAATGTTGTGTGGAAAATAAAATTGTGTTGTATCAATGCAGATTATCCAGGTGCCTCAAGGAAAATACAAAATCTTACCTACAGAGAGAACAAAAGTTAGTCCCTATCCTGTGGCTCTCATACCAGGCCAGTTCCAGGAGTACTACAAAAGGTACTTTGAAAGTCTAAAAGTATGACGGTATAAAAGCTTATGTTTTATATTACATTAATCTACTTGCTGTATATTTTATAAAAAAAAAAAAAAAAAGGAATGTTTATTTTAAAATATCTGAACTGATTTTATGCTCATGTTATGTTCTAGTCTGACAGCCCAAGAAACTAAAGTCTCCTGTTCACAAAACAAATATAGCAGTGGGGACTGAAGTGCAAGCTGCTTCATACTGTGGTATCAGTGTACCCAGTATTGTCTTGGAAGGACCAACTGAACATGTAAAAGGAGTAATTTACTCTCCATGTCCAATAAGTCCTTAGCATCTATCTGCTAGTCCACAGGCCAGATCCCAAAGTTGGATCTGGCCCATAGACAATGGAGCTTCAGTGGTGGGTCTGCTTTCACCCACAGTGCTGCAGCAGGGAGGTAAAATGCTTTCTTAACTGATGATCAAAACTGTTATGTAAGTACAAAGTGATCTCCAAAATGTTGTGTTTTCACCAAAAAGGTCATGGCCACACCTAGGAATATCTATTGTGTATTGTCCAGATTATAAATCAATCCCAGATTTTCGGATTCAGTTTTAGGAAAAACAGCTCTTTACCCATACTTATGATTTTATATTCAGAGGAAGTCCTTGAACTGCAGCTATCCTTACAAAAATCCCACAGGAGAATCTGAAGACACTGAAAACATCCCACATTGAAAACATTCCTGATTTTAGTAATTTTATTGCTTGCACAAAAATACTAGCAGTACCCAAGTCAAGATTGCTGGGGGCCTTATTAAGGTTGATTCAACATGTAAGTCACGCAATTTTTATGTTCTTTTGGACAGAAAAATAAAATGCAACTTATAATTGAAATAATATGGTATATTTCCCATTCATCCTTTTTAATGTACACTAAAATTAACCGTTACTTAAAATAACACAGCTACGGAGGCAGTACCTGAAGGTTCTAATTTTTAAAAAATGTTTGATGCATTGGGATGTACTAATTCTATGCCTGTAAATTTCATGCGCATTTAAAATTAAAGGATCATTTTGTTGAAACAAGTGCACAGCCATTTCTACACAATCTTCCTTCCAAACAAAAATAATTTGAAATATGCATGGAAGTATAGTCAGCCTCTCAGAAACTAGAAACTTTGAAGAAAAAAGATAAAGTAATCCCCCCATGTGCAGGTGAATCTTAAATCTTTCTGTATGTTTTATAAAAGAATCCAAAATATTTAAAAATTCTCATCCTTAATTGTGGGGGGGAGAGGAGGAGTGCAGCATTTATAGTATTGACAAATACAAGTTGTGTATTACATACCCTTTAAGCTGTCCCACGTCATAAGCAAACCATGCCAAAAACATACCAAAGTCTATATCAAGTTGAAACCAAACAGATGCTTTAAAAAAAATCAGATATTCAGGAACCTGGCTATACAGTGCTCTGGTCTTTACTGTTTAAGTTTGGAACTTAATTGAAAAAATTATAAAGAAAATTGTAAATGTGTCTGTACAGACACCAGATATTTATAAAATAAACTACGTGGCGTCTTGGTTATAGTAACCAAGCTTGTATTGAACCCTCCAAGAGCTATCAGTGAACATGTTGGTATGGAATGTCTAAATTTGGCTTTTGGTATGATCTGTTAAGTGAGTTCTTAATTAATTGTCATGATCCTCACCTTCCAGTACAAATATAAGTGTAGTTGGTATATCTGTTTTAATCAAGTTTCTGTTCTATGTTAACTCTGATTGGGGTGGGAAAATCATTCTAAGTTTTGTGAGGTGAAACAGAACACTGAATGAAATGCAGGAATGGAGCAGGCAGTTGCTTCTACTTTTTCTTCTGTATTCATCTAGTCCTTGGTCTGTATCTGATCCCTTTGTCTTCAGTGGCATTCTGCATGGACAGAGGGCTTCAAGGTCTCAGATTCTGATGGAGAGCTGGAGACCTAGAAAGTTATTTCATTCAGTTCCATATGACAAACAGAACACAAAATTGAAACTCTGCTTCTGTGTTAATCTTTCTCAGATAGTTGGAAGACCTACCAATAGACAGCAGAAACTAAAACTTGATCCAGGTTCACTAAAGATGAATGAAAGACTACCACAGTCTTTAGAGGAATTTGTTTTGGACCTTCATTCTTAGTATGTTAGGGAACATGCAGTTCATGGGACTGGTGGTAATTTTTTAAAAAATATAGCAACATGTTATCTGAAATAGGGTGACAGTTATGACAGAAGGATGAGGTGTTTGCAGAACTGTGTATATTCCTGAGTGTGCATGCGATTCTGGTGATCGTACTATTCTTAAAGGCTTTGAATTTAAATTATTTTTTAACTTGCACTTAGATGCTTGTATTCCCTTTACAACAGTTAGTTTAATTATTTTTGGCTTCAGATACTCCCCAGATGAACTTCGTTATTTGCCATTAAACACTGCCCTTTATGAACCACCCTTGGATCCAGAGCTGCCTGCATTAGACAGTGATGGAGATTCAGATGATGCAGAAGATGGTAGAGGTGATGACAAACGGAAAACCAAAGGCAATTCGGTGAGATAAACTGAAAGGTGTTCTTCAGAAAAAAAAAAATACCATTCTCTCTCCCACTTTGGTCAGTTTCTGTAGTTGCTTCCCTGACATCTTTAACATCTCTTTCCAGTAGAATTTAGGGTTGTTTTTTTGTTTTTTGCTTCCAGCTCGCTCTGTTTTATCAAAACAAATCACATTTCATATTCCCACATTCATTTTATTGAATCGTTGCTTATTGCCAGTTAAAAGAAATCTACATTAGTTTTGGCTGATATCGTTTTCTCAATGGTTAAAGCAGGCTTACCATACACAAACTGAAATGTAGTTGAGATCTCCCATTATTAAAGTGTCCATTTCTCTTGGCAGCCAACTTTCAGAAGCACATTTTTGTAATTCAGTGAGATCCCAGTGTAAAATCTATAATCCATTTAAAAATGGTTTAATTAGACATCTTTGTGTTGAGTAGCCAAAAGGCTGAGTATAGCCAAATACATGAAAATTTTGTTTAAATATTCACAGTCATTTTTTTTTATAACTAAAGGGGAAAAACACTTCTATTTAATTCAGGCTGTGTGTTTCCAGTTCCTTTTTTCTGCACTTGGTTCCTTCCGACCATTAGGGGTATAGGAAAGGATATGGGACTGGTCAAACGCTCTCTCCCAGGGCACAGTACTACATGCAGCCTTCAACCGGAGGTAGTTCTGAAATTAGAAGGAGCAGGGAAAATTAGAGACAAGGCACTTGTGGGTCTATATATGCCCTGCTTCTGGCTATATTCTTTACTGGGATTAGACTGATTAGTAAAATTCTTTCTTTATGAAGACAGGTATATCTTTTGGAGTAGGGTGGAATCTCTATCTTTGGGAAGACCTAGTTGCTCCTCCTATATTAATCATGTCCAAGGAGAGAGTTTTGCATGTTTGTGCCCTGCTTCTTTCCCAGGGTTTCGGGGTGCCTATCAGCTTTCCATCTCTAAACCTGCTGACAGTTTCAGGAAACTCCATCATGGCTTCCATTTCCAAACAGTTTCAGCTGAGTTGTCTTATGTTGCCTGCCCCCCTGAAGGAGCTCAACAGTAGTCTTTAAAAAATGTGAGAGAAGATGCATCTCCTTCCCTTTCACTTTCTGTTCAGTATTTCCTACAAAACGTCCCTCAAAAAAACCCAAAAATAAAAAACACCCACCATGGAACATGTCATTTGCTATCATTATGTAGTTTGCTTTGCTTGTGTGCTGTATTCCTTCTGCCACCTTGTGTCTATCTTGTCTATTCAGATTGGAAGCTTTTCAGGGTATGTACTACCTACAACTGAGGTAAAATGGTGCCTATTACTATGGGGCTCCATTGTTGGTTTATTGCAAGCACTTCTGTAATAAAGTATGATTAGGAATATTTCTGTGCTGAAGCATTTGGTAGGTCATGAGCATGTTCCCAAAGAACTTAAAATGACATCCATATTGATCTCTTGGTCTTCTGCCCCCCACCCTAAACATCCTTTAATGGCCGCAGCATAAATTATGGTGCGTAGTTGTGTGTAGATATTCACAATTACAGTGTTGGATGTATTTGATGGCATTTCTCTGCTGCAATCAAAAGTAAATATTCAGATTGCACCTCAAGAGAATATGCAATGAGGGTGGAAGAAAAATCTCATGGATGATACAGTTTGGTACTGCATTTTTTAACAGGTAGACAGCACAATTTTTAGTTTTCTATTTTGTTATCTGCAAAAGACACCATAAAGATGGAACAATTAGCAAACTGGTAAAATTGTTTTGCTTTTGCCAAATTTTTAAATGAACATTTTTTTTATAAAGAATAAATACTGTTGTACTCCCTGCTCTTACATCAGGTTCCTTTGGAGAATACAGGAGCCTTTCTGCTGGGAATACAAGGAGGAAGAACTTTCTGTACTTAAATACCCTCCATGCTTTTATAGACAGTCTAGTCTTTTTTTTTTTTACCTAGCAGGTTTGATGGCTTAGAAAAGACTTGTGCGTCTATCCAAAAAAAAAAAGATATCATGGTATTTTTATTATAGGACAATTCATCTGGCAATGTATCTGAAGGGGATTGCGCCACTGACAACCAGGAGGATACTTTTCAGGGAAGACAAAAAACAAGAGACAAAAGTGCTACTCCAAGAAAAGATGGTTCCAAACGTTCTGTACTGTCCAAATCAGTTCCTGGGTACAAGGTAGAAGAAAAAAGCCCCTGATTCAGCTTCTTTACTGACCAGCCTCTCTCCCTGAAATATTTAACTTCTGCTTTTCAAAAATATGGAACTTCTGCTTGCTGTACTTCACTAGCTGCTCTCCTGTTGTGTGCTCCATCTGTTTGCTTCCTTACTTCCTTTTTGCTTTATTTTACTAGGGGCTCTTCTGTTACCCTGGCTACAGAGTGGCTTCTATTTTTGTGTCTTATCTGATTTCTGAGCAACTATAGCACCAAAATCCATTGCTGTTGCCAAAAAAACACCTTTAACATAGCAGTCTGATTTACTTGTCAGTGTAAAACTGGCATTAAGTATTAGCTGTTATTCTTACTAGTATGTATTATGGCAGCAGACCGTGAAATCAGTGCTGTAAAGTGCAGCTACGTGGCTTAAATCTGTATTATAATAAACTCAAACAGTCTTTCATCTTGAAGACTGACCAAGTGATAACTATGTACAGGTATTACTTCATATAGCAACAAACATTGGCCTCCTTTAGAGTGGAATGCAAAAACTAATTACAGTTTAAGCAACACTACACAACTGCTTGGGACAGGATATGGAGAATATCAATTTGTCCAGTTATGTTAAAGGAAGAATTCTGATAGGTAGAATGCTTTATACTAGCTAAAGCTTAGATAGAACTTGAGGCATGTTAGCACCTACAAAACAATGGTTATCAAACCCAGGATATAATCCTCAGCATTAATAATTTAACACTAGGATTTAAAATATATTAGGAGAAATTCAAAATTATATGCATGATTTAAATATGTGTCATGGACTTGCATATAGGCAAATGATTTGAGGTGTAATCTAATATGTTTAAATAACATCTTGCTCATCCCTGCTTGTTTTTAACTGTTAGCAAACTGATTTCCAGGGGAGCAAGTTCAGGCCCCTGATGACAAAATATGTACCAGCAAGGAGAGGTGTAGATCATCAACTAAGTGTTTACTGGGGGGAAACTTAAGAAGCAAGGTTTTCTTCTGT